CCAGGTTATAATCCTCAAATCTGGCTCAAATAAAATTTTCCATTTCTTTCTTAGATTGGCTGATTAATTTTTTGTCAACAGATCCAAGAAGTCAGTTGATGTCTTTTACTATAATTGTCGTCTCCATCTTTCAGGAATGATTTCCTTGGTGTTGGCCTTTTTCGGAAAGTCTCCTTCCTTGTTCATGATTCACATCCTACAGGATTAGCAGCTGAAAACAAGACAGGCAAGATACTTGCTTCCATGGAGCTTACTTTCTAGGGGAGTGGTCTGAGGAAAGCACACTCCTGTGTGTCTCCTTCACTCTCAGCCCTCTGCTACAACACTGCTTCAGCTCAGACACCAGACCTGGGTTTTCCACACATCAAGCAATTCTTCAACATCAGCTGGGTGTCCTACAATTTAACTCTATTCTAACACTATCAACCCACGGTTTAGGGCCCAGTGCCCACCCCAACACACTCCAGACACCAATCACAAGTCTGATTGTTACTTGTCCTTCTGACCTACCAGCTATACATTGGAAATTCTCATACCCTCCTCCTCGGGTTCATTCGCTAGAGTAGCTCACAGAACTCAGGAGAGCAGCTTAGAACAAAAGATAGTAAAGATACGTACCAAGAGACAGATGAAGAGATACATAGCAGGAGGTCCGGAGAGATCCCAGATAAAGGAGCACCCATCTCCATGGAGTTTGGAGTGTACTACTCTCCCAGCATGTGGATTTGTTCTTGTTCATTAATCCAGAAGCCCTTCAAACCTTATCCTTTGGGGGTTTTGTGGAGGCTTCATTTTTTCAGGCATGGTTAGTTGAACCATTGGCTGTTAGTAATTGAACTCAATCTCCAGGCTTCTCCCCTCCCCTGGGGGTGGGTCCTGAGAGTTCCAACCTTCTAATCACCTGGTTGGTTCCCTTGGCAACCAACCCCTAACCTTAGTGCAGATTAAAAATCACCTCATTAACATAAATTCAGTTGTAGTTGAAAGAGGTTTGTTATTGAGTAGCAAGATACCTCTATCACTCTTATCACTTAGGAAATTCAAGGCTTTTAGGAACTCTGTGCCACAAATAGGATGAAGACCAAAAATATATTTCTAATTATAAATCACAATATCAACTAAGGAGGAGCCAGAGAACTATATGTAAGTAAATATATAAATAAATCCATAAATAAGTGGAAATGTTTCCAGATCAAATATCATTAAGAAAATAAGCCAAGCTAATAGAATAGAATGTGATTGGCTGGGAGGAGGATGGCGATACATGAGACAGTTGGGAAAAAATATCTCTTATGACAGTTCAGCCAAAAAAATCAATGATGAGTGGGAACAGCCTTGGGTGTTGCCAGAACAGCAAGTACAAAGGTTCTGAGACAAAAGTAAACTCCCCCTGCTTGAAGAATGAATGAAAGGCAAGTGTGACTGAGCTGAGTATTAAAGGACTAACAGGAGTTTGCCAGAGTTGGAGATGGAACCATAACTTTAACCGAAAGAGGAACTTATCTTAAAAACAA